TTTAAATTAACTGTTAAAATCGTAAATTTATATTACATTTTATATCATTTTGTTTTTAATGTAAAACTGTATATTTTAAATTGTTTTTATCTTCTAAATTGTGAGCCGCCCAGAGTAGACTATGTCTAGATGGGTGGCATATAAATGCAATAAATAAATAAATAAATAAATAAATAAATAAATAAATAAGCCAATATAGTCTGATGGTTCAATTAGTTGCGCAACTGCGCCTGTGGAACTGTTTCCTTGTTATGACTTCTGCCCTGCTGCAGGTTTTTTTTTTCAGTTTGCAGGCCTGTTGCATAGCTGTGCCTCCATAACTTCAAATTATGCAGGCAAAGATATGCTACTGGACTTTGATCTCTAGATCCAACCATGTGGCTCCAAAACTATGCAGATGTTGCTGAGAGTAGCTCCCTCAGAATATACAGTAGTGCTGAGTATACAGGAATGTGATATAATCCCTAATTGATATAAGATTATGGTTTATTTTTCCAAATAAGGATGATGTTGTTGACAATTATGTATCTGTGGGAATCGTAGGGTGAGCTGTATTGTACAGAAATCATAATCTGACTTGGATGAGTCCAGTTCTTACTTCCCTTCAGTAGAGAAAAAAAATCATGAAAATGCAATCACTGATGTTTCAAAATCTAAACAATTAAAACTGCGCATTTTAAAAAACCTTTACTCTTCAGAGAAAAAGGAAAGTCAAATATCATTAATATTTTACCACTTGACTCCAGAGAGAGAGAAAAAATGTTCTCTATCACTTTGGATTTTGCTTTCTTAAACTAGTGAATGGGCATCAAGCATTCTTATTCAGTTTCCTTCCAGCTCACAGCTTATTGTTCTATGAATGAATGGCTGCAAAACTTGCCTCATTTGTTTGAAAATCAAGCTTGATAAATTTTTGCCACAGGAGATTGTGCTTCATCCAGAACGGGGATGTGGGCAACATGTTTGTAACCCAGGCTGTATTTTCTTGTAAGATTGTTAAGTGCTGTTTGCTTTTGATTGGATATTTTGAGTATTTGTGGAGGGGGAAAAAGAGAAAAGAAACACCAGCTAAATAAGTTATTTGGTTCATCTACAGATCATGATTTTAGAAGGAACTGGCAGAATGAGTCTTAATTCCGTCACAAGTCTTCTCCATGAGCAGCCATCCTGGACAGATGGATATCACCCATGTAATGGTAGGAATAATTCATCATTGATCATCCGTGGATAACTTTGGGAGTAATCACACATAGGAAAAATATATATCCAAGCTATTTTATATTTTATTGGGATACCTTTGCCTGCCCTAGAATTTCACTATCTCTTCCTTTCAAATATAGAAATCTAATATAGTATAGTAATTAAAATGTATGAGGTTTTAATCATGGTTAAATATTCCTACCCATGCATTTGCTTCTTAACATTCTTTCCTTAACATCAGCAGCACTACCAGCACTGTTGTTTTCTGCAAAGAGTATCCCGTCAGCAGCAATGACTGTGCCAATGATAGCTGATGATACCTCATATTCTAATCTGCCCCTGACATCAGGGAAGAGCATCTCAGCAACTTGAAATTCTCCATTCCAGGCTTTCTTAGTTTATATTGAATGGTTGTCATTGGCACTGAGATTAAAGGTGCCACCTATGGCCAGAAGTGATTTTGGGTGACGTGGAAACCTCTTCATTTGGCGCCTGGCAGAAATAAACACAAGTCTTGATTTCAAATAGGTCAAATATACAGGGTGCACCTGTTATAAATAATATTTGTCCTCAGTTAAACAATTAGGATAAAACCCCTAGCACTAATTTCTTCATGTGGAAATACAGTCAAGTGAAGATTCTTAGTTCATTAAATGGCTCAGATTGGGAAAATATTTCTCATTAGCTTAAAAGAATTTCAGAGCACCTAACTAAAATCCTGTCATTTAAACAGTGTAGCTCCCTTTGTCAGCTCCCTTTCTTTTCTCACAGCTGTCAGTTTTTATGTTCAGAGCATGAGGGCATTACCCAACAGCTGAGGGTTCAATCTTCCTCACCCACATGGATAATGGACTTAACCTATAAACACTCATATTTGCCTAACTAATTTTTCTTCCAAATGACAGTTTTGATTGCCAGCTGATTTGTACCTGTCTTCAATTTAGCAGTAATTATAAGCCAACATTCTATTGAGTTTCTGCTGAGCAGAAAGTTCTGCCCGTGGAGTGACTCAGGATGGTCCTTTCACAAACGTTGCTTTTGTAAAGGCAAAAGGTGATTTTTTTTTTCCTTTGTGGAGAGGAATACACTGCCTGCCTATTGCTCTGAAAACACTGAGTTAACTTTTCCAGTGGGGCTTGGAAAATGACTTTTTGGATTACAGATCTCAGAATCCCCCAGCCAATGTGGCAACTCCACACCTTCATTAAACCTTGCAGTCCAAAAGGGGAGCTTTCTGGAAGTCACCTTGTTCTCTGATTTACAGCTGAAAAAGCAGGAGAGATGGAAAAAGAGAAGAAAGGAGGAGATAGAAAGACCGAGTCTTTTAAAAATAGCTTAGATTTTGGATTTGAATACCAAGGTAGGGCAGCTACAATTCTGACACAGGAGCCAGCTGTTCATGGTGGAACCCAATGATGTCACCATGAAATACTTCTGCCCACGATTTTTGAAGCAGTTTTCACTAAAAAAGAGAGAGAGATTTCCTAAGATTAATAAGTATTGAATGGTAAGCTGTAATACGCACATGTTCACACTGGCTATTAACTGTAGGGAAGGGGAGACACCATGCAGCTTAAGCACAGGGAACAGAAGAAAAGTGATGCTGAACTTGTGTGAATGTCTTGGTTTGCATGGCTGTCATTTCAGTTGCACAGTAAGGACAGGACAACAAAGGAAAAGTATGAATTGGTCCACTGTAAAGTCACATACAGAAGATTGGATTTCTCCAGGTTAATTTGCTTCAGTGAACTGAACAGAGAGAGGGGAGAAAATTAGCAGTCAGACTAATTTTCAGCTTGTTAACCATTTGGACCTTCTCCTCCTCCCATTTGGTAGTTGGGTCTGCTTGTTTTCCTCTTTCCTTCCTTTTGTCTTTCTTTCTTTCTTTCTTTCTCTTCTAATAGTTTGCTGCCCTAGTGCAAGGACAACTTTGCAACTAAAGAGGGGTGGTGGAAGAGTAAGGAACTGACAGAGAAAGAGAGGAGGAAGTTATCAAGAAGCTTTGTTTCTAGCTTGTAAAATTAGCTCTGCTTTAACTGAGCCTCCTGCAAATCTCGTGGTCTAGAGCAGTGGTTCTCAACCTTGGGTAACCCAGGTGTTCTTTGAGTGCAACTCCCAGAAGCTTCCGCCATTAGCTGTGCTGGTTGGGATTTCTGGGAGTTGCAGTCCAAGAACACCTGGGTAATCCAAGGTTAAGAATCTTAGGTCTAGAGGACAGCTATACCTGGGTTATCCAAGGTTAAGAATCTTAGGTCTAGAAGACAGCTACGACAACAAGTTGAGAAAAAAAAAACCCTGCTTGATAACTTCCTCCTCTCTCTCTGTTGATCCCTTACTCTTCCCCCCCCCTTTGGAAAACCAGAAGACCCAGGCACCAGGTTTGGAAAGGAAAGGATTCAAACAGCAGCCATTTTCCCTGCTGCCCTTCCTCTGTCACTGCTGCTGTGCCTAGATGGAATGGCTTTAAATACAATGGCCACAAACCATCCACATTGGCTCAAGTAAAAACACTGTCTGAACCAATTTGAAGGCATTTGATGTTTTTGGTGGAGGGTGAGATTCTGGCCTGGTTCACATTGACTTTTACTTTCTACACACACACAGACACAGACACAGACACACGCACACCCCACCCCATTGGTGCCAAAGCACTATTCTGGGCAGTTTATAAGAAATTAAAACAAACAGCACAACAAACAATAAATACAACATAACAAAACAAAACATTGATTTCCATGTTCCTAAAAAGATATGAGAGTAGATATGCTGGGGATGGCTGTGGGCTTGCAGGATCTCAAGGGTTCCTCACAAAATGTCATCATGTCTTTCATTCCGTTTAATGCCTGCATGATGACTCTGGCTGAGGCTAGCAGAGGCATAGTGTACAGTGCCATCAGTATGCAAATGACATCCAGCACTATTTCTCTTCCCTACCTTTCCAAGGAAGATGGGGAAATTCTGAATTGTAGTCTGAGATCTATCAAGGACTGGTCAAACCAAAAATGACCTTAATGCAGCTAAGAATTTCAGTTATTGTTATTAATATGGATGACTAGAATATGTGGATGATCTTCTTTTGGATGGGGTCCAGTCTTTCCAAAATTCAAGATCACAGTTGGGTATATGCCTGGATTTGCTACTATGATGAGATACCTAGCCAGTGACAGCTGCTAATAATGCCTTGTACCAAATTAGGCTGGCATGCAAACTTCTTTTCCTAGATTAAGACAGCATAATCAGATTAATTAACACCACAGTGACATCTAGGTTAGATTTGTGTAATAAGATATATCTGAGATCACTTTCATCATCCTTAGAAATGATATCTGCTTCAGCATGCAGCCATCCAATAACTGACTGAGACAGACTTTGGTGTATATGCTTTGGATTTTGATACCACTTCATTGACTTTCATTTGGTTTCTGGACACAGTTTAAAGTCTCTAAATCCTTCAGTCATGGGTAGGGAACTTTTGCTCTTCCTGAGATGTTTTGACTTCAAAAACAGACCTACTGGGATCTATCACACAGTAATTAGGCTGGCATGCAAACTTCTTTTCCTAGATTAAGACAGCATAATCAGATTAATTAACACCACAGTGACATCTAGGTTAGATTTGTGTAATAAGATATATCTGAGATCACTTTCATCATCCTTAGAAATGATATCTGCTTCAGCATGCAGCCATCCAATAACTGACTGAGACAGACTTTGGTGTATATGCTTTGGATTTTGATACCACTTCATTGACTTTCATTTGGTTTCTGGACACAGTTTAAAGTCTCTAAATCCTTCAGTCATGGGTAGGGAACTTTTGCTCTTCCTGAGATGTTTTGACTTGCATAAAGCATGATCAGTGGTAAAAGATTGTGTAAGTTAAGGGCCAAATCACCTGGAGTGCCCAAAGTCCCACGTATAAAGATTTCCATACACAAAAGTCTTTTCTCAGAGGCCCTATTCTGGGTTTCTTTCTCTTTGGCATAGAGACAGTAGTGTCTGGTCTGTCAGTGGCTGCCCAAACTCAGCCAGTGCCTGCCTGCCTTCTTATCATACCATGATTTATCAGGGATCTCCCTGTTGAAATCACAGCTGCAGAGTTGGATATGGTGCAGAGAAGAGGGAAGCAGCAGCAAGTACATAGCAGTGAACTATCCCTTTAGCTTTTGCTCATCATAGGTTGCCGTTACCAACATCTCACCAATCAATCCCATTAGATACAGTGGGCAGTTATTTGGGCTAGAGCCTTTTCATTTGTGGTACTGAGGATGTATGTGCTCAGATGCAGATTTGTCCCGTAGTTTGGTTTGGTCTGGTTTTCCAGGCAATCACACCGTATCAGTATGTGCCATTGTAAACCAGCCTGCCCCTGGTCTATGCTGACCTGCAGCTCTTTGGGCCTTTGTCTGGGTTACTATTGTTTGGTGTGGGTGGGATTGCTCTGTTTTGGTTCGGTTGCAGCATGTGTGATTGCTGGGATTGGACCAAAGCTGCTGGTTGACTGCCCCTTTGGTGAAGCTGCTTAATGATCTTGAGAAATAGAAAGCTTCCTTTCCTCTCACCTTCAGAGGCCAAGGAAGGTGCAGTGTGGTCAGTCCCAAATGTCATTATATCACCCTGCTGCAAATTTTTTTAGTGTGATCAAGACTGATCCAGGCCAACATAGTCAGTCACTCTAGTCACACTCTGAGTTTATGAAACTTCTTTCCTTTTACTTTGTTGCTTGATTGTGAGCCCTTAGCCACTGAGGAGAGGCATTTCCCAGAGTCTTTAGGGCCTTCTGCCTTTACTTTTAAATCCATAAACACATAACTTGTCTGCATCTCTTCCATTGGTTTCTTAAAACTTAATCAACTACTACATATGCCTAATCTTGCTGTTTGCTCACTGTATTTTGTTTCTGTTTTTCATTATAGTTTTCATTTGTATTGGGGCATTTAAGGGTTTTGTGAGATTTTTTGGATCAAAGGGCAGGATATAAATGCTTCTAGAAGTAAATGAAATAATGCATTTTTTTCATTTCACCAGTATTGATTTAGGGAGATTGTCCTTTATATTTTTTGATGATAAATTTTGTAGCATGTAACTCACTCTTTCCCCACAGCCTCAGGCAGCTTTTTTGGAACTCAGTGGCATGAAACACATCCTCAGTACTGGACAAAGTATCAGGTCTGGGAATGGCTCCAGCATCTCCTGGACACCAACCAGCTAGATGCCAGTTGTATCCCTTTTCAGGAGTTTGATATCAGTGGGGAACATCTGTGCAACATGACTTTGCAAGATTTCACCCGGGCAGCTGGCTCAGCTGGACAGCTTCTTTACAGCAATCTCCATCATCTGAAGTGGAATGGTAAATACACACTGAATAATAAGCCGTGTCTCCTGTCCATGAGATTCTCAGATGTTGTGTAATTACAGTCTCCATCAATCCAGTTAGCTATAGTCAGGGATGATGACAGTTGTGATTCAGAGAACCAAAGGTTGAGAAATTTTTCTAAAGCTTTTCTAAAGAGTTTGGAATGGGACAAACAAATCTGTAAACTGTATGTTCCTTGTAAGAGAACTTGAAAAACTGAGAGAAGGGATGAATAATCTATTTTGATAAGTTCTTCACAAATCATTGATCATGGAGCACATGTACCGAGGGTAGATGTACCACATACTGGAATAACCAATATGTGGTAGTCTCATAAAATCACCATGCAAAGTATTTGTTCTAATGCCTGGTGATTCCTCCCACTCCTCATGCTAATTTAGATTTGTACAGAAATTGCAGTTTTGTTTGTAGTAATATTTATTTCAGTTAGGGCTGTTTTATAAAGGTTTACGTTTACAACTGTGCTTCTGACAAGTTTCTTCAACAAGTAATATTTTAATATGAGGCAGATTTGGGAATGATAAAAACCAAAGAGTAAGAATGCTGTAGGAAGGCATTCTTATTTAGTGGTTCTTGTTTATTCTTATTTACTTATAGCTATCAAATATCACTAGTTCTTACTTTCATATAGATTAGCTGGCTTGTTGGATCTGACTTTGTCCAGATCGACTATGCTTTGGCAAGGATAGAAGACAGTCATGGAAATCCTTTCTATACACGGAGTTGTGCCTTACATATGCCTTTCATTCTCTTGCAGGTCAATGTGGAAGTGAACTGTACCCATCACACAATGTCATTGTTAAGACGGAACAAACAGGTGGGTGGTGATGGCAGTCTTGTATCCCTAGCAAGAGCTAATGGCTACAATTAATAATGAGGAATGAGGAATTCTATCTAGAACTAACCAAGTGGTTTGCCAGTTCATATCTAGTCACAAATGATACTTGGTAGGGGAAGTACATTTAGGTGGCATCACTCTCTCTCCTTCTGCTGTGTTGACTTTAGGAAGCAAGATCAAATCAAACTTAAAGCTTCTTTGATTTCAATAGGTGAGAATCAAGGAAGTACTCATGTCTCTCACTTAAACTGATGTGACCTAGAAGTGTTTAAAACTGTGGATGGCTTGTGGTTTATTTTTGTTTGTCTTTAAATAAAGGCTATTTTTAAAAGTTACATACAAGAATTTATATCTGGGAATTTATAAACGCTAGAAGCAACAGAGTGCAGAAAATCTATTTTTATAAACATTTATTTCATGGAAGATAATTTCATGGGTATTCATTTTTTTCACAAATAGAATGCAAAGGTGCGTCCAATCCCCTACTTAGCTTTTTACCAGGTTAAAAACTATGACTTGGCACCCAGAAGGCTAAAGGTTCAATCCCTGGAGTCTCCCATTCACCTTGTAGCAGGTGATGGGACCGTTCTCTGCCTGAAACTCCAGGGAGTTGCTGCCAATCAGAGTAACCCATACTGGCCCTGGTGGACAAAACAGAATGATGTGTTACATGTTCCTAAGAAATGGAGTTTCCCCTTAGACAGCCCTTTCTGATAGACATTCTATAGTGACATTTGGAGTCTGGGCAGATTTATATGGGTTCACTTTTAGAAATGAAGATAGTTAATATTGTTATTGATAATTTAGGCAGGAATAGATTGCATCAGGGTTTACAGGGACCAGTGCTAGCTGGCTTTTTCAGTTGGAACATGAGACGATGAAACATGGGAAGCTGGTAGATCTAGAGTCAAGAATTGGATCCATGTTGCCTGGTATTGTTCAAAGCACTGGCAGCCTTGTCAATAACTTGTCAGAGCAAGGCAGATTGCATCATCATTTGGCATTTCATGAATTTAGTTGGTTCAGATTACTTTTTGGCACTTTCTATAAAGTTAAGATAGGAGTCCTTTTCATCTGTGCAATTATATTCTGCAGCCCGGCACAAACAAACCTTCTTCTAAAGTCCCACTTGGGTGAGGTTTGTTATTAGAGAAAACAATGGGTAGATCAGGTGTCTAAACAACAAGAGGGTGTGTGCTGTTGTAATGACATCAGTTTGAGCCTTGGGGTGCCCAAACACGTAGCTGGGGTAAGGGGGAAGATTTACTAAATTCCTATGTCATAATTTCTAACCTGACCACGCAGGATGACTTAGCAACTGAATCATCATCAGCTGTAATCACATTCGTTGGTATAAAAGACAAATAGATCCCCAAACTCACCTCCTAACTGGAACAAAAACAAAAACAAAGTTGACTGCTTGTAAAAAACAACATGACTTTGTCCAGATTGACTATGCTTTTGCAAGGATACAAGACAGTCATGGTTACAGCTATGGCTCAAAAACATAATTCTGACCCCTCTGTTTGATGGGCTACTGTTGAGCCAGCTGGGTTTCTGAATTATTGACACACACACCCCATAATTGAGATAACAAAGGCACAACTGTATTGATTATGATGACAGTAATTCTGGCCAAGCATTGGGTCAGATCCAGCTCATCGGTGGACCTGCATATGTCCCACCAATGCAGACTATTTTTTCCCTGAGAGATCACTCAGGATGGCAGTTCTGTCTGAAGACCACATGGACGTGAGCCATTCTGTGACTCCACTGCCAACCAGGGGCAATTCTCCCCTCCCAAGCTGGGGTAGATCCCGGCCCCAACCCTGGTTCCCCTGTGGGGATTCCTCCCCCCACCTAGGCATACAAATCCCCGCCTGCTGCCCTAACAACCTTATGGATCTATCCCAATGTCTAAAAATGCCATAAAGTTGTGACAAATGAAACAACAAATATGAGTGCCAACAACAACAAACATGAAACAAAACATGCCCCAGGACCCTGCGCATGCCCCAGACTAATGCTAACGCCAGGGTGGGTGGGTTGGGGGACAACCCACTGGCAAGACTGAGGCTTTTAGCCTCAGTGTGCCCCTCCCTTCTGGTCCACCAGCAGGGAGCTATTTTTTCTTAAATGTATCATTGATCAAAGCTGAAGGACCTCAACTATCCATAAATGCTGCTTTCCCAAACTCTCCAAAGTAGCCAATGTGCATACTGAACTCTTATGAAGGTATTGTTTCTTCAGTGCCTGGAGCAGAACGTTTTGTTTGCTACTGTCTTCTTGTCATTGATAAAACATTCAAATGCTCAACTTTCTCTGAGTTGCACTTACTGTAAATTTCAGTTATTTGTTCTAAATGCAGAATATTTGGTTTTCTATACTGAATACATCGCTTTCTCGTATTCCTTTTTTTGTTGTTGTTTAAGATCCATGTGCAATGGCATCCTGGAAAGAAGAAGATTATTTCTATGAGGGTGGATATGGTGGCACAGTAGGTAACTAACTCATAAACAGTGAACCATTTTTCAATGACTTTGGAAATTCTTTTAAGATCCTTAATTTTTTTCAATTACTCTTTTTTTTACATCTTCAGAATTAATGGATAGCAAAGCCTATTGTCGAGCACAGATTTCAGTGAATGCTACAAGTCACCAGCCAATCGGTAAGATTGTCTAATTATTTAGGACACATGCTTCTAAATTAGGATATGGCTAGATGGGCCAATTCATGTTATGTTTGATATACAGCTTGAACATATTCAATTGCTATAGACATATACTTTTATTTAAATTTTGTGCATTGCTGAATTATCTATATACTTCAGAACATTGACTGGCTTGAGACCATTCCTACTATTAGGAAAGAAAGTGAATATGTGATTTTATTCTCCACTTATTCTGTGTACGTGTAGCTTAACATTGTCTTATGTGGAAAGCTACAAGCTTAATTTGAACATGGGTTTCCTCAGGACTTAACACTCTGGTGTTAGTTAGACTATTGATCATTTATGTGTGAATGGATGTGTGGATGGATAGAGAGATAAGTTTCTTTGTTTGTTTACATTGTTGTTTTTGTTTTGATTCATATTCTGTCCCATAGTGCTAAAGCATTCTTTGAGTGGTTTACATTATTGTGGTGCAAACAACACTTTGGCTCCCCCACCCCCCCACAAGGTGGGTACTTATGTTACTAATCTCAGACAGATGGAAGGCTGTCAACCTTGATTCGGGCATTGGAATCAAACTCAAGTCATGAACAGAGGCTTGACTGCAGTACTACAATTTAACCACTGTACCACTGAGCTCACTATGTATTTCATTTATATCTCACTTGTCCTCTAGTAAAATCATGGTGGTGTATATGTCTCTCATTCTCACGTGTATTTCTGCAACCACAATGTTAAAGTAGTCAAACTATGAAGTGAATTTATGGATTGTGTTAAAGTAGTCAAACTATGAAGTGAATTCATGGATGAGTGAGGATTTCAACCCAGTTCTCTTGAGCCATTAGTATACTTCTCAGAATTTCCAGTTCCATTAACACCGTTACATGGAATGCCTAGGCCATCCCATTCTGTGCTCAAATGAATACAGAGAAGTCTGAAGAAGTGAGGTTCCTGCTCATGTGTAGGCTCTACTAGCAAGAAATAATTGGAACCCATATAATTGTTATGATAACAGTAGGAATTCTAATACGTGAATAGAACAGTGTTTCCCAACTTTGGTTCTTTAATTGGAACCCATATAATTGTTATGATAAAAGTAGGAATTCTAATACGTGAACAGAACAGTGTTTCCCAACCTTGGTTCTTCAGATGTTCTTGGACTAAAATACCCAGAGGTCTTCACCACTAGCTGTGCCGGCCAGGATTTCTGGGAGCTGTAGTCTAATAACATCTGGTGACCCAAGGCTACTGGAACAGAGCAATGAATTCATGCAATGTCAACCTTCGCTTTAACAAGTCAATGTTCTTATCATTTCCATGCTATGGAATGTTATAGTGTTTCATTTCCTCTAATCTTGGAGTTATTCAAAGCATAAGAGACCTGCCAGAAAAAAGAAAATGACAACTCTTTCATTAAATAAGCTAGCAATACTGCTAGAAAAAAAATCCACATGTGTTTATAGCTCTTCTGATCTTCAGCAGCTGTAGAATCTGGGCACTTCAAACAAATTAATTCAACAACAAATGCTTGTCTTGTCCCTTTGCTGTCCGCCCAATCTCATAAAATGGCTGCCAGTTCCTAAAATCACTCGGGCAGTCATACGTTTCAGTCAGGCTCCCTGTCGTGATGTGTTTATTCTGTTACACATTGATCCTAGAGGAAGTGTGGCATGCCTACGTCACAGCATATTGTAAAAACTGAATTTGTATATTCTGTAAAAAGGAACGGCTCACTCCTGAATCATATGCAAATACTGGGTATTTTGTCTTTCCCAAGTTTTGCAAGACACCTTTGTTGAAACATCATTCCCCTCCCCCATTTGTCAAGGCACAGCCTTCATAGATTTATTACACTTCAAACATTTATGTGAAATCCGAAGTGGATATTGTTGAAGGTGTGAAATAATTAATTTCCAACTCTGTGAGATGTGGAAGGCAGGGCAATCTTATGCTTACTTTTTGCTATGACTACAGGTATACCATCAATGTGTTACATGAGTGAAACAGCCACCATCTCCAATACATGCTCAGCCCAGGAGAGAGAGGGAAAATACAAATTATAATGAAATACAAAATTGGTATAAGGTCCACTGCATACCTGTGGACACCTCCTGTATGTTGCCTTCTTGCAAATGAATGAACTCACCGCAGTGGGGATGAGCTTCCAGCACATTTAAGTTGCCACAACACCACCCACACAAGCATAATAATGTCACACTATCCCTTAATCCACCAGCCCCAGTGGCACAGGTGCCAACCATCCCTCCAGGCAGAAGTTGAATTTGCCTTATTCTCCTCATAGCCACTATTTAATGCACTTGATGCAGGAAAAAGGAAGAAAATACACACCACTGCAATTACCATTGCCATTTCAAATTTAAGTCACTCTCAGGGAGGGGAAAAAATCATTTTGCCAAGAATATAGGTGAGGACACATAATGAGGGAAACTATAGCTACACAGAAGCAAACTTCAGCTTCTGAAGTGCCTTATTCCATGGGGCTTGGGGCTGGTATCAATGAGAATTTATTTCCCCCTTAATGTAGGAGAACATGTTCTCGCATGTCTTTTGCAACCCAGAAAACAAATACCAGTCTTATCTCAGAAAGGCATCTGCATTAGCCGACCAGCTCTTTTGGCCCACTTCTTCTGGCTATCCATACAACTACTCTCCTGCTGTATTGCTTGGTAGGCCAGGCACCATCCAAACAGATCTCACTGCTCTTTCCCTGCATCATCCTCTAGGGCAGTGGTTCCCTACCTTGGGTAACTCAGGTTTTCTTGGACTGCAATTCCCAGAAGGCTTCACCAACTGTGTTGAGGTTTTCTTCTGGAAGTTGCAGTCCAAGAACACCAAGAACACCTAGGAGAAGGCATCTGTGATAGTTCTAGGGGGGAAAAAAGAAGTGTTAGCAATATGTTGTAACTCTCAGGAATGGGAATGTGTTTCAGATTATGTTGGGTAAGCTGTATTTGTGCAAAATGTTCCTTGTTTGTGAAAAAGTGCCTTTTCTTACAGAATTCTTGTGACTTCTGAAAGCACACAATGTGTAGCTAATGAGGTATTGGCTTTTATGGCAGAAATTATACCATAGGATCATGCTGCACATCTTGGGGCAGGGTGGACAACTTTGGTTCTAAGGGCTGCACAGATCTACAGAAGTGTCCCCCACCCCTAGCAAATGAAACCGGAGGTGGCTACAAATAACCATATGTTAATGTACTGTGACTGCTGTTGAACAGCTCAGGACCCTCTGCTGCAGTACAGAGGCATGGTGATCATCATCAGAGAAGAGTGGATTTTTTTGATTTGTCCTTTCACTAAAGTCAATGAAAAGAGATTTTTCTCTGCCTACTCTAAGACTGGAGTAAATCTGTATCATCAAGGGAGGGTTTGTCTGTGGACTGAAGTGGCATAGGCTCCAGTGGAAACCTCCTTGTCTCCTATGCTGTCTAGGCAGCACTTGAGAAAGTTACTTTTTTTTTTTAACCACAGTTCTCAGAATTTTCCAGCTGGCATGGCCACTGATCACCCATAAATCAACTGCTTATAGCAGTTCCGCTGCTGTATCTCTGCTGGATAGCAGAGTGTCTAGTACTCTGCCAGCACAGCAGGTCTGTAGCAAAATTCTGAAGCCCTCTAGGTTAAACTGGAAAAAGAAATTAATGGGTTTGCATTTGACTACGAAATTTATTATTAGATTTTATTTACTGCATTTTTATCATGCCTTCCCAATCAAAATAGTGGTCAAGACAGCTGACAAACATCATTAAAAAATTAAAACAACACAACCAATAAAATCATCATGGTAAAAAAAGTCCATTTTATATCTCCCAAGATAGGTAACAGGAAAAAGTACATCTTGTCTTAGAAATCTATATATGTATATCCAAGCTTTTTTAAAAAACTGTTCATGAAACCATGTAAACATTTGAAAAAAAATGTACATGACCAAAAATATGGATTTTTTACTAGGTAAATTAATACTTTGGTCAAATGGAAAAGTAGATAAGTGGCAAGAGCGTAGAGTCTGAAAAGGGCACATTCAAAATATCTATAATAAGAACATATGCTCCAAATAGATGTGTGAGTTTTGGTAGGAGAAGAGGAGGAAAATGGTCTTAGAACCCACTACAGAACAGGGACAGGTCAAAGAATCCCTGTGGAATTTTGTCAAAGGCAATGAAAACAGAAATGTTTTCACATCCCTCCTTTTAGGCAGTGCAGGTCCGGTATAGGATCACACTGTGATCTGGATAGCATGCAATAACCACATAACAGGGACTTATTTTTTTGAAGTACAGCATAATTGAAAAGTAAAATAAGATAGTTGATCAAACTAAACTGTAAGGTGTGAGAGAGTAATTTTATATTCCTCGCATTCTCAGAACACAATTCTTAATAGCTTTAGGTTTTGTGGCAGATATACTTCAGTAAGGGTGGAAATACCAGGCCTTAATTAGTTCTTGTGGCTTTCCCACAAGCTCAGCAACTTGTAAAGGAGGAAGATGCTCCCTGCACTTGGCAATGCAGAAAAAGTACAGCTGTAATTAGCTGTGAATGAAGAGCTCACATGCTCACCACTCCTGCTCCGGTTTGCAACCATTTTCCTGGAGTGCTTATCAGTGTTGCAACAAAATAGTTCAGACAAGTTTCTACAGATGCTGGTACTTACTGTAAAACATTTGCACATGCAAATAACTAATTTCCCTTGAAAGTCGTGGTGATGGTTTGTGAAGAACGTGTGTGGGCTTTGTACTTCTCTGGCATTGACTGTCCTCCAAGGCAGACACAACACAGATTCCTGATAATCAATGATGTCCCACAGATAAGTAGAAACTGTTTGCTGTCTGTCAGGCAAGAGAGTCTTAAACTTTTGCTCCTTTTCCTTGTTTCTAAAATGTTCAGCATTTCAGAGAGGCCTCTGTTTCGGTGAAAACTAATGAACACTGCACACTTTTTATTTTTTATTAATTTAAAATAACTTGTGTTCAGACATCTAGTTTCCCCCCCCCAAAAGTATACCATTTAACCTACAGAAAGGAAGAAGGAAGTATCGCTCATACCAATACAGTAACTGTGATGAAATTAAATCAATAATTTCTTGTGAAATTTACAGAGAATGGTGTATGGGTTGTTGCTGTTGACCCCTAATGGCACATTTTGGCTCCATCAGAAGTGATCATTTTGCCTTTTAAAAATTGTCTTTCCAATCTGGCACTTTCTTCCAGATGAACTACAAATCCCATAATACAATTGTTGGCTTGGGATGGTGGGGTCCAACTTGCCTGTAAGGTAGGGAAATTCTGTTCATCCTAAAACATGGGAACTCTTCTTACAACCCATCCCATTACATTTGTATCACTCATCTCATCATTCTTTCCATCTGCACCAATTAGCTGTACCTTTTGCTCTAGAATCAGTCACTAGCCAAAGGTTTTTTGACATGGCACAGTAAATCACACTTGAGTAGGCTCATTGAATGGTGGGGATTTGGTGAGTCAACTTCTCTGTAAATTCCATTGATTCAAATGGGCTTACTCTATCTGCAACTTACTTTAGCATTGGAAATGGGAGCTGCATTTTTAAACACACATGTAAATAAGGGGCATCAGCTTTCTGTACTAGATGCAAATAGAAGAGGTTTACTCTTAATGTGTTACACATAGAATGCCACACATTGGAAGTGTTCCGGTAACGGATAAGCACCATCTGGAAGTTATTTTTTTTTTTAAAAAAATTACATTTTAAACATGACCTAACGATAAACTAAAATGAGCAAAGGTTCATGTACCTTGGGCTCAGGTACATTCAATTCAGTGACTGTCAGAGCAGATGTGCATTGTACTGTACTACACTTTGGGAGAGCTTTCAAAACAAAATAAAACAGGAAAAGGGGAGGATACATTGCTCCTTTTCACCCAGAACCAAATATATCACTATATACGGCACTGAGCAATATTTTAAAAGGATTAATTAAGGAACGGCATGTTATTCTCTAGTAAACAGATGGACTTTAATTCATCAAACTTGTTTTTCACATTGCTGATTGACTTGTTTCAACCCTAGGCAGGAATGAATCACTGCCTGCCTCCACCTCAGTAGCCTTTTTATTAAATATCAGAGGAAGTGGATTTCAAATAACTCTTACTCCTTACCATAGTCCCTTGAGACTGAAGGATGCCTACAGGACTTACCCTTTAGCAGGGAAAAGCCTCATAAATGCTACATTACGTTGTGAAGCATATGCAGATTAAAATTAATAAAAATGAATGAATTATTTCCTAGCCCTGTCCCAAACAGTGCTTCCTCACGTGCTTATTGTGTTGGGATACAGCCACTTGTTTTGTATGCTTTTGTTCCTTTTTCTATAGGTCTGGCAACAAAACAACATTCTGATAAGCAACAGCTTGTCTTCCCTTTCCTTGTGTGTTCTTTAGCTGCAATTCCCAGAGGCCTTCACCATTAGCTGTGCTGGCCAGGGTTTCTGGAAGTTGCAGTTCAAGAACACCTGGGTTACCCAAGGTTGGGAACTATTACTCTATACTCTTGGCTTCTTTGTTTTCCTCAGGAAACAACATTTGCTAGATTGTTATGTGTGCAGACACATGCCTGTATGTTACACTGATGCCACTATACACACTTTTTTGCATTTGAGATATACAAAGATAATAGTTAAGGCAAGGGGATTTCCTTAAGGATAGTGATTCTGAAGAATGATACACAAGTATGGAATTTCACATTGGGTGTGTTGAGTTTCGTACTATTACTGAAGATATTTTCAGTTTTGTCTGCCTCATGATATTAGAACTTAACATCATTCCATGAGGATGACTAGCAGGAGGCTCAGGGGCAAGAGAAGATGTCGTTTCTAATTGTCATCATTGTCGTTTAGTTGTTTAGTCGTGTTAGCAAAACCCTATATGTCCCTTTTAAGAAATAAGCCCCAGGGAGTTCAATGGGGCACATGATCTGTGGTGCATGTGTGGCCAGCAGTATATATAGTGGGAGGGCCATACCTCAGTACTGGGATCATGAGCTATGCATGCAGAAGGCTACATTTTCAATGTGGGAGTCTCTTGGTAGAATTGGGAAAGACTATCTCATGCAATCTAACAGAGCAATTGTCAGTCAGCCAGACATGTGTGGCCCACAGACATGGCTGATGGATGTACTTGTAGAGATCACTGGGGTCATAGTCAAGACATTTAGGAGGCACCAGGCTAAAAGAGGCTAGTGTCAGCATTACAAAATTAGATGGCAAATATGAACTAATGTTACATATTCTAACCTGCTTTTATCTATGGAATGTAATCACAGTGACAAGGTTAGGATTTGATTTTTTTTAAAAAAAGAGGCTTATGTGGACGATGAATCTGCCGATGGGTATTAGCTATGACAGCTAAGTGGAGCTCTCCTTTTCAAAGGCAGTGTATTTCCAAATTGATAACTTACTGAATTAGGTACCTGGCTGAAGAGTCAGAGGCTGGGAGTTTGATTCCCCACTGTGAATCCAGAAAAAACCAGCCGGTGGGGCCCTGGGCAAGCAGCAAAGAGTGCCTCCAGAAAAAGAGAATGGTAAAAAACTTCTGAGTATTCTCTACCTAGAAAGCCCTGAAAAGGGTCACTGTGAGTCAGAATTGACCTGATGGCACATTATTATTATTATTAAAGACAAGCAAGGGAAGCCCTTTACCCTCAAATCCTGCTTCAAAGTAATTGACTGGTCATTGGGGTGTGTGTGTGTGTGTGTGTGT